CCTTTTCTTTCAACAGTTGAGAAATGCTTTGTCACAGGGGCGCCTGGGTGGCTCAGTCGTTAAGCTTCTGCCTTCAGCTCAGGTCATGGTCCCAGGGTTCTGGGATCGAGCCCCGCATCAGGCTTCCTGCTCGGAGGGAAGCCTGCTTCTCCCGCTCCCACTCCCCCTGCTTGTGTTCCTGCTCTCGCTATGTGTCTCTCTGTCAAATAAATAAATAAAATCTTTAAAAAAAAAAAAAAAGAAAGAAAAATGCTTTGTCACTTCCTTCTGATGTCCATGGTTCCTGATGAGAACTCTGGAGATGACCCTTTACCTCTCCAGGGTCTGCCACTTCTATAGCCCTTGTCTACAGAACGGTAGGAACCAGGCACCTAGCCCCCCTCCCACTATGTATTTAGGGTTAGGGCAGGTATCTTTCCAGGTGCTTCCAATTTGTCCCCATGAATGATCACCTTGTGCTTGAATGTCACCCAGCTTCACAGTGGGGCTCATCTTGCTTCGGTTTTGATCCACAGCTGCCCCTTTGGGACTGATGTCCTCCCTAGGTCATTACTGCCACCACTGGGCCATCCTCAGAGGAGAGTGATGTGGGGGCAGCCTGCATTCCCTTACTGCCCTTACTACTCACATCTATGTGCGACCTGCCATTTCATCTCCTTGAATGGCACAAACATGTAATTCTTATATGTTGACCAGGGTTAATGAGAGGGAATCACAACATGAAGGATGTTCAGTTGGCTCTTGAACAACATGAGTGTGAACTGCGTGGGTCCACTTTTATGTGAAATTTTCTTCAATACATACTGTACGGTACTATGTGGGGTGCCCGGCTGGCTCAGTCGGCGGAGCATGTGGCTCTTGATCTCAAGGTTGTGGGTTCGGGTCCCATGTTGGGCAAAAAGATTACATAAAAATAAACTCTTAAAAAATAATAAATACTGTATAGTACGGTAAATGTATTTTTCCTCATTATGGTTTTTTAGAAGATTTTATTTATTTGTCAGAGAGAAAGAGAGGGAGAGAGCACAAGCAGGGAAAGGGGCAGAGGGAGAGGGAGAAGCAGGCTCCCCACTGAGCAGGGAGCCCAATGTAGGGCTCGATCCCAGGACCCCGGGATCATGACCTGAGCCGAAGGCAGACCTGAGCCACCCAGGTGTCCCTGCCTTATGATAACATTTTCTTCTTCTTCTAGTTTACTTTATTGTAACAATACAGCATGTAATACATATAACATACAAAATAGGTGTTAATCAACCATTTCCATTATTAGTAAAGTTCTGGGGGAGTTAAAAGTTATACTCAGATACTGAATTTAAATAATTTTTTTTTAAAATTGTATCTGGAAAAAAAGTTATACTCAGATATTCAATTGTGGGTGAGGGCGACATCAGTGCTGTTAACCAACTACCCCCCGCCCCAATCCACAAAGTTGTTCAAACATCAACTGTATTATTTCCTAGGGCTGTTATAACGAAGTACCATTTATTTTCTCATAATTCTGGAGGCCAGAAATCCAAAATCAAAGCGTTGGTAGGGCCATACTCCCTTTGAAGACCGAAGGGGCTTCCTTCCTTACCTCTTCCAGGTCCCAATGTGCCCAGGGTTTCCTTGGCAGCATAGTCCCATCTCTGCCTCCATCTTCATGTGACTCTCTTCCCTCTGTGTGTGCCCGTGGTCACATTTCCCTCCTCTGATAAGGATACCAGTCATGTGGGTTGAGATGACCAAATGGTCTTAACAATTAAATCTGCAAAGACCTTATTTCTAAATAAGGTCACATTCATAGGTACTGCGGGTTAGGACTTGAACATATCTTTTTTGCGGGAACACAGTTCAACCCACAAGAGGGGAGAAAAGCTTAAAAAGTGAAGTTGAGGGGCTCCTGGATAACTCGGTTGATCTCCCGACTCTCGATTTCAGTTCAGGTCTTGATCTCAGGGTCATGAACTCAAGCCCCGTGTTGGGCTTCATGCTGGGTGTGGAGCCTACATAAAAAAACAACAACACATTTCAAAAAGTGAAGTTGAATATAAGTGTTGACAGAACACAAGGAACTAAGGATCAAACCCTCTCAAGGACACTCTCATGAGCCCACTCCAGTTTTTGGACATTCCATACAAATGGACTCACCTTTATGTGATATTTTGTGTGCCATCTGGCTTCTTTCACTTAGCATAATGCTTTCAAGTTTCATTCATGTGGTGGCCTGGATTAATATTCCATCCATCCATCCATCAGTTGATGGACATTTGGGTTGCTTCCACTTTTTTGGCAATTATGAATCATGCTGCTATGAACATTCATGTATAAGTTTTTGTGTGAACATGTTTTCAGTTCTCTTGGGTACATACCTAGGAGTGGAATTACTGAGTCACGTGGTAACTCTGCGTCTAACTTTTTGAGGAACTGCCAGACTCCCTTCCATAGTGGTTGCTCCATTTGACACCCTTACCAGTAATGTATCAGGGTCCAATCTCTCCACATCCTCACTAGAATTTGTTCGCTTGTCCTTTCTTTCTTTCTTTCTTTCTTTTTAAATTATAACCATCCTGCGAATATGAAGTGGTATCTTATTTTGGTTTTGATTTGCATTTCCCCACTGACTCATAATGTTGAGCATCTTTTCATGTGTTTATTGACCATTTGCGTATCTTCTTTGGAGAAATGCTGGACCAATTTTTTACCTATTTAAAAAACTGAGCTATTTGTCTTTTTATTGTGGAGTTGTGAGAGTGCTTTATATATTCTGGGTACTAGATCTTTATCAGATATAGAATTTGCCCATATTTTCTCCCATTCTGTGGGTTGTTTGTTCAGTTTTGATGGTGTTCTATGGTGGGCAAAAGTTTTAATCCAGTTATTCTATTTTTCTTTTATCGATTGTGATTTTGGTGTCATACGTTAGAAACTATTGCCTAACTCATGGTTATAAAGATTTACACCTGTGTTTTAAGAGTCTTACAGTTTGGGGGTGCATGAGGGGAGCAGTCAGTTAAGCGCCCATCTCTTGGTTTCAAAGGCTTGGGTCCTGATCTCAGTGTCATGGAATCAAGCCCCACGTCTGGCTCTGTGTTCAGTGCAGAGTCTGCTTGAGATTCTCTCTCCCTCTCCCTCTACCCCTCCCACTTGTGTTCTCTCTCTCTCTCAAATAAATAAATAAATCTTTAGAAAAGAAAAAGAGTCTTACCGTTTTAACTCTTGGTATAGCTCTTTGATCCACTTTGCATACTAATATTTATATATAATATGATACAGGGATCCAAATTCACATTGTGCCTGTGGATGTTCAGCTATTCTAGCATGATACACTGTTTTTACCCATTAATATGTTTCAGATATTCTTTATGGCATCCTTTATCCTTTCGCATATATCCCAGCTTGTAACACACTCTCTTCCCAGTGTGTCCTGGATTGCAGCCTTAGTGGGACCCGCAGAGTGCTCCTTCCCACATTTCCATCAGCTCAATCACTGCCCCTTGGAAGCTCCCTGGGATCCCAACCTCCCCAACTAAAAAGAGAAGAATCTGACTTTTCTATGGGTCATGGGTTAAAACTTTCCATTGTTCACACTGGACACCTTGCTATTCTTTTTTTCATTTTTATTTTTTGTATTTATTTTTGCCGGTGACCCTTTTCCTTTTTCTCAGCAGAGAGGCAATGCCAATGTTTTGTTTGTTTTGTTTGTTTCTGTTTGTTCATCACAAGAGTCTACTGAAAAGTGAACAAGACCAAAATCAAGATTCCCTATCAGGGCTCCTGCTGGGATCTGCCCACAACCCCTTAAAACAAACTGACCTTTGCAGCTGAGGGAATTTCAAATCTCGGCACTGGCCTTGGGCATTCCTGTTAGTGTCTGCATGGCTTCCATGCAGGACTGTGGGCCTCTCTCTGCAATTTGTGCTCAGCTGTTGCGGCGGGATTGTCCCTTTGTAAGCATCTCATTAGTAAGCTGAGGTCATCAGTCAGCTGAGAATGGCTGGCTGTGAGGCCAGCCTGGCAGGGGGCACGGGAGGGGGCAGATTTGGAAATACACAGCAGTATCAGAGAGGAGCTTGAGTTTGTGCGTGAGGGTAGGGGTGCTGGAGAGACAGGGAGGCACAGTCAGGACGGACGAGACGGGCTAACCTGGCTCATTTGACCTGGACCAGGGAGCTGACCCTCCCAGAGACACATGGGACAGAAGATGACTCTGCACCTCACATCATTTCACCAGTTGGCCCCCAAGACTGTCTGCCCCTTTTTGAAATTGAAATAAAAGAGAAATTTCCAAACCTCTCCAATGTTTTTTAATTTATCCTTGAGTTGGAAAGTGTAACCTTTCCCTGTGAGTGTGTGAACCAGGGAAAACACTCCTCTTTGGAAGGTGACTTTCTGCAGGGTCTCAATGGCCCCTAAGGAACCCATCTGCCTTCAAGCTGCTGGAGAGTGGGAATGGCCCTGCCCGGGGAGACATCGCCTGGCAGGTAGATGGACAGTTTTATGCCATTGTATTCTGTTCTTCTGATCACATGCCTGAATGTGTGTGGGTGTGTTTGCACCGGGGTGTATGGTCTTTGCAGACTGGGTTAGGAATGACAGGAGTTAGTGTCTGTTCGACAGGAATATAAGGCAGAACAAACATCTACCATCTAAAGGAAATACCGATTTCCTTTCACACAATGTGATTGTTTCTAATATTTATTCAACTCAGATTGAACTCAAATGAACGAGGATGGACTGAGGTTCTGTTCTGTGTTGGCTCTCCCCCTCGGGCTTCGGGGGACCACGAGACATGAGGGCAAAGACAGCAGGGAAGACAATCCAATGACAGGGAAAGGCAGCCTGAGGTCAGGGAAAACAGACAAAAGCAACTCTGGTTGTTTGGCTTCAGTGAGAGGAGAGCGCAGGGAGGGCCACATCCCAGGGGAAGGTTTTGTGGGACCTTGGCCCTGGCGGGACTATGCCTAGGTGAAAGACATGGGATCTCAGGAACTTGACAGCTTATTTATTATTGCTATGTTCTTACACCGAGTAGAAGTTTTATTGTTGTTTTTATTATATTCAGTAGAAATAATAGTATCATAAAGAAGAAAAGGAGTTTCCAGAAACATAAAACTGGCTTTAGAGATTTGCAAATGAGGAATTTTATGCTTACAGCTTTCAAACGCTTTTCGTATTAAATTTCAAGGCAGACAGTAACTGTTAAAATAACTCGGTTCATTAAGAGAGTGATGTTAAGATTTAAACACTTCACAGAATCGCAAACATTTACTGATGTCAGGCACCGCGTTTTCCAGGGGAGGCACGTGGATTCACCCAGTATCTGGTCATGAATAAATAATTGCTGACCTGTAACTATAATCTAGGAGTCTTTCCTTCCAGCCCAGTGATCTTTCTCCAACTTATCAGCAATATTTTGGCTATCATTAACAGTAAGGTACAGAACAAACAGCATACACTCAAAAGAAAGCAGCAAAACGAGACGCACATTCTGTACAATACACAAAATAACAGAATTAGCAATTTGAGAAAGAAATGAATAAAAAATAAAAAATAAAAGGCTGGTGTCTTGATTAGGGCTTGTTTCAGGTAATTTGCTTTGGCCATGGTGGAGTAACGTCTCTGATTTTCCATGTACTTCCTAAGATCTCTTTTGAAATCCTTTAACCTTTCCTCTTCGCACACAGGTCCACATCCTGACGCTGTTACTAGGCTGTAGAGCCCATTGGTGTAGTGGCCACCCCCTCTCTCCAACACCAGGCCTTCCATCAAGTCCATTAGCTCCTTCGCTTGGCCATCCCGATCACTCCCTGTAGCACAGTTGTTAAAGGCACACACTCGCCCCCCACATGCTGCCACCAGCTTGCGGAGGGCTGTGTTATCTGTGTCCTGGATGTAATCCGTCAAGGAGTCTCCCTCGAGGTCTTCTTTGTGGGTGAAGAGGACAATTGTGTGACTCATGGCATCTTCTCCAAAGATCTCCTTCATCCTCTGCACAGCCTGCTGGTCCTGGGCGGTGAATCGGCCCAGCTGGGTCACCAGGAGCAGCACATGGGGTCCTGGTGCCGAGAGTAAGTAGCATCTCTGCACCTCTTTGCACAGGGAATCGGAGTGGTCCTCCCCAGAAAACATATCCGGTGTGTCGATAATGACCATCTCTCTCTTTCCCCAGCTTCCCTGACTTTCACTGCAAGTCTTAGTGAACGGCTGGGCAGTCAGCTGCGACCCAAATGCTTGCTTCCCAAGGATGCTGTTCCCGGTGGCACTTTTGCCCGTTCCTGTTTTGCCCACCAGAATGATTCTCAGCTCTGATCCTCTGGCACGTTGGTTCTTCATATATGGTCCTGTGAGAGCGAGTTTGCTACGTTATGACTACTGGTTACACCAATGGAATACTTTTAACAATAAGAGATATTCCCACATTATGAGCAAAGGTAGTCTCCCAATACATTGGATTTATAAAATAGAGGCTAACTCCATTATCAAATCAAATCAAGCCAACAGTGATTTTTAAAACATCTCTGTTTCTCAGGGCACCTGGGTGGTTCAGTTGTTTGAGTGGCCGGCTCTTGATTTTGGCTCAGGTCATGATCTCAGGGTCCTTAAAATGAGCCCCGTGTAGGGTTCTGTGCTCAGCGGGGAGTCTGCTCAAGGATTCTGTCTCTCCCTCTCCCTCTGCCCCTCACCCCGCTCACTTTCCCATGCTCATTCTCTCTCTCTCTCTGAAATCAATAAATAAATGTTTAAAAAAAAACTCAGTTTCTCTAGGACTGCAGGATGCTGCCATGTTGGATCATAGAAAAACATACTTGGGGGACGATGTGGATTTAGAAACATATCTAGTCATGCAAGGCTTGCCTGATTCACCCAGTTCTGGCTGTGTACAAGACAAATTTTCTGAAGATCAGAGATGTGTAGTAGCCACGACTGTGGGTTCGATCTCCAGGTGGCTTAAGTAACTTGACTCTGTTCTAAGGCCAGAGATGGCTCTTCTGACCTCGCTGGGCTGGGCTGTGGTCTTGACCACCAGTGAAAAGCCTGGACTGGGGAAATACTGGAATAAGCAAAGTAAAATTATTCTCTCTGAGGAACTATCTGATAGCTTATACTTTGCTTAGAGAAGGTTGCATGATTTTTATATAAAATTGGCACAGAAATTGGTAAAATAATCACACACACAAGAAGTCACTTACCAGAGTGACCGCATTCGTGTCGGTCCATTGTTGTTCCTGAGGCACAGAGAAACCAGAGACCAATTATATATATAATGTATATATATTCCCGAGCCAGACTGGGAGTTAACAGTCATTAACCCTTAAGGGATTTTGAAATAACTCTCTCATGGCTTCCGTGGCCCCTGCTTTTCTTTCCTATCCAGCTCTGCAATTTCAGGGAATATAGATATATTATAGATATCATATATTTAGATAATTGTTTTAGTTCTGCATCAGGAAAGACCCTTGTATTCCTACAGCACTGTCACACCCACGCCTCATTTGTTTACACATAGCTGATGGGGGAGAGAATTATCCTGTCTTACAGGGACATAGTCATTTGCCCAGAGTCACCCAGTGAGTCAGTGAGTGGAGAAGAAGTAGGTTTCGTTTGTCCGCCCCTCCTCCTCCTGGTCTCCATGCCCACCTCTTCTCTGTGTCCTTCTTCCTTCCTCCCGTGGCCCCCCAGCCCCTCTCTTGCTCTCCCTGGCCTCACCCATTCCTTCTCTCGCCTTCCTTTCTTGTTGGCCTTCCCTGATGCGAGGTTCAGTCTTCTCTTTCCTTCTCTCCTGCTTTCCCCACCTTGCTCCCTCCTCTCCCGTGCTCTTGCCTCTCTCCAAACCTCGTCCTTCATTTGAAATTCTTGTGAGAGACTCAGTGAATTAAGTACACTATCCTTGAAGCCTGAAATACATTTCATTCAATCCATCAATTACTTGAATTTTCCTCAATCCTCAACAGCCAGCTTGAAGAAGCCTTGGGACCCATTCCCTTTCCCTGTGCAGTGAGAAACATCCGTTCATTTTCATCAGATGGTTTTTCTCTCTTGCTTAAGTCTGGCAGCGTATACCAAAGCGACAAGGCACAGAAGACTCACGAACACATGTGAATGCCCACATTCTTCCCAGTTAGCACTCTTTATTGGCTTCGTGCTAAGGAAGCTCTGTTTGCCAGTAACGTGTAAACGAAAACTGTACAAAGTTTACGGTCTTGTAAACCGGCTGTACTTCAGCCAAAGGCAGCCACTCTAAATCGCTTCCCTTAAAACAGGGAAAATTTGTTCTAAAAAAGATTTTTTTTTCCCCAAGCATAGCCTGGGAATTAGAAATCAACACTGTGGAACTTTTCATGAATGTGGGCTTACCTGATTGACTGTCCAAAGAAACCCAGATGACTCCCATTCAAACCTGAGACTTGCCAGCTCAGCTCAAAGAGAAAGAGAAAATAAAACAAAAGCCCAGCCTGTCTTCTTCCTCTCCTTAATGTCTGCAGAGCTTCCCTGCTGCAAAAGAGCCCCTCCGTATGCCTGTGTTAAAATGGGAAGATTTAATCAGTAGTTACTTGCTATCGTGTGGACCCCGTTTTCTTGCCAGTAGTGAAAAAGCAGTGTTGGAATGATTTCAGCTGGACAGGGGAGGAAGGCAGGCACGTCAGGGTAGCTGGTAGATTTGATCTCTTCCTGCCCCGGGCTGTGTCGTGCGGGTCACAAGTTTGCCCAAATGCAAAGCCCGCCCAGGAGTTAAGCCTCATTCTCACTGGTGGCAGTGACTGTTCTAAAGGCAAGTATCATTGCGGGGGGTGGGGGGCAAGTGCATGGGTCTGGGGGTTGGGGGGACACCTCTAGCGGGGCACTGTGCAGAGGGAAAAGGTATGTAGAAAGGGGAACCTGTGAGAAGCCCATTTCTTGAGTCAGACTGGGAGTTAACAGTTACTGGGAGTTAACTGGGAGTTAACTTGAAAGGATTTTGAAATAACTCCCGATGGCTCCCATAGTCCCCCTGCTTTTCTTTCCTAACCAGCTCTGTCATTTCAGGGAACACACCTCTGGGGAGTAATGATCTAGTAGTGTCTACAGTAATAATCGGGAGTGTCCACTTTCCGGAAGAACAACCCAAAGAGTTAAAGTCGAAATCGTTCAAATGCTCTTTCTGCTTATTTATGTGACAGTCAGCACAACAGGGAGAGAGAAAATATGGAGTTTATGTTGCCTTCATCCCAGATTCCTAGTGACCACATGTGGCTTTCTCTCCCAACCCACTGATGAGGAATAATCCACTGAGCTCTGAGCTCACTCTAAGGGAGGCTGGGAAATGCAGGGGAGCCACGGGACTTGGGTGAACATCACTACCTTGCTACAAACTATTATTTGTATTGAATTATTGCATTATTCACAATAGCCGAGTTATGGAAACAATCTCTGTTTGTCAATGGATGAATGGATAAAGAAGATGTGATAGGTGTATACAATGGAAAATTGTTCAGACACGAGAAAGAAGGAAATCCTGCCATTTGCAACAACATGGATAAACCTCAGGTCATTATGCCAAGTTAAGAAAAATCGGACAGCGAAAGACAAATACCGTATAATCTCACTTATACGTGCAACCTAATACGAAGTGGAACCTAACAAGAAATGGAACTCATAGAAACAGGGAGTTATCACGGTGATTACCAGGGGCTAAGGATTGGGGGAGATGGGGAGTTGCTGGCCAAAAGGTAAAAGCCTTCAATTATAAGCTGACTAAGTTCTGGGGATCTAACCCACAGCATGGCAACTAACTGTAGGTATAATTAAAGTTGTTGAGACAGCAGATCTGACGCATCCTCACCACACATATAAAGAAGTGCACTGAGAGGGTGTGACATGAACTAGCAAAGGCTGGGGTAGTGTGTAGAACAATCCACACCTGAGGTTTGTTGCTGACTTCCAACGTTTCATGGAAGAGATAAGTGCAAACCAAAGCAAAGGAGAGACACAACACAACAGACAAACTTTGATAAACAAACAAAATACCAAATTGGATCTTTTGGAAGAGGTTAGATTTAGTGACTTGTCCATTGAAAAGTGTGGAGAACTGTTAGCTTAACAAAGCATAAGACCTGCCACCAAGGAATTCGATAAAATTGACACCCATAGTTGTAAAAAGGGCCAATCTCACAGTATAATCATAAGAATTAATAACTAAAGTTTTAAATTAAAAGTTTTTAAAGACCTTTTAAGTCCTACAAGAGTGTCGTCACGCACCGAAATAAAGTTCTCAGACATCAATCTGAACGGCCCTGCAGGGCTGCCTTTGCAAGGGAGAGCAGGGGCAGCTAAATTCTGCACATAGCTTTTACTTTATTTTTTTATCAGAAAAGCAAGGACAGAGGCATGGGAAAGGAGTACCAAGGGATGGCAACTATCTCGAAGGCCTAAGGCAGGCTTGCATCCTCCCCTAGGCGCCCACACACACGGAGGCAAGTCATGGGATAAGGGAGGAGGGGGACGTTTGGGCTAGCAATCCCCAGGTGCGGAAGGGGGACTGAGGGTCACATTCTTTCATGGCTCCTAACCTATGCCCTGCCCCTGGGGATCGTGGGATCCTGCTCCTACCGGGCCATTGCGTTCAATAGCCCGAGAACAGGAGCGCGGCTGACTTTTCAGCTCCTTCCACAATCGCTCCTTAGGGTTTACAGTACATTTTCTGAGAATAACTCCACACAAAAGACATCAACAGGAGCATTCCACTAAATGATTCGATTCCCAGCAGTGTCACATCACCGAGAGCCATATCCTGCCAAGTGAGGGAGCGCAGAGACGTCCATTTTGAATTTTATTCCATCGCTTTGTTTATAGTCTCAGAGGATGGATCACCATCATCCCCTTCTGGAGCATCAAGTACCATGATGTGAAGACAGTTCCCAGTTCCTTGGAATGGGACACGGGCAAGCCTGAGGCATGGGTCCTTCCACTCTCTCCTTCACCAGTTCACCCCCACACCATCTCAACCCCTCTGAACAGCCACTGTGGCCGCTCTTCAAACTCCCTACTCTCTCAGGGATTAAAGCTGACCAATACTCCCTTTAAATTCCTGACTTGACTTCACTGTGAGGAACTAGTAATCCAAACAACCAGGAGAAGAGTGCTGTCCCCTTGGTGAAGGAGTGGAGAAGCCATCTTGGATGTTCCAGCCCCAGCACGTGCAACATGGAGAAGAACTAGGCACACACAGCTGACAACCAGGAAGCCACAGCCATGTGGCTCTCATCTAGCTGTGTCCCAGCTACCTGCAGCCATTTCAGCCACCGCAACTAAAGCCCCGGTCTGCCATGTAGGAGAAACAAGTCATACTCTCCTTCTCTGCCTGAATTCCTAGCACATGACATCATGAACGTCATAAAACTGTTTTATGCCACTGAGTGTGGAGTGGTTTGCTGTACAGCAGGAGAAAGTTGGGTCACCCGAATAGATTCCTAGAAGTAGCACTGCTAGACTCTTGGTACACGTATTTGTAATTTTGATAGATACTACTGGATTGCCCACAGTAAAATGTTCATCAAATTACTTACACCAACATTGTATTAGTTTCCGCATATCCTTCCTCATGATTGTATCTGCCTATCTGATCACTGAAAAACTGTATCTTAGTGATTTTCATGCATTACTCCACATGAGTGTGGGTGAATATCTTTCATATGTATAGGAACCGTCTTTTTCTTTATTGACATCTGTCTTATATATTTGTTGCCCACGCTAATCATTTTGATCTTGGTTTGTTAGAGTTCTTTCTGGGGCCCCAAATGATCATTTTTCCTCTTCTTCTTGGCTTTTTTCTTTTAAACTTCCAATTATGGTTCACTTTTATCGTGGCTAGTATCTAGAAGAATGTCAAATGATCACAGTGACAGGAGGCCTCCTTATGCTGTTCCTAACTTTTGTGGCAATACTTCAGTGATTCTCATTGAGCAAGATGCTTCGAGGTTCAGATGGAAAATTCTACTATGCTAAAAACATAACCGATTATGAGATGTTGAATTTTAACAACTTACCTTTCAACAGCTAAACGGATTATCAGATTATGTGGCCTCATAGCTTTATAATCCATCAAGTTATACCAAAGTATTTCCTGATATTGATCCTTCTTTGCCTAGCAGTTAAGGTATTGCTGGATTCTATTTGTTAATTGCTACATTAGGATTTTGCATTGCTTCATAGTGATCTTATCCATCTCTAGAAGAGAGTAGCTCCTCTCTCTCTGATTGCCCCATTGCCCGGGTTCCAGCTGTATCTGGTTTCAGGCTCCCCTCTTCCCTCCAAACGTAATAGCCATGTTGTTTCTCTGAACAGAGAATTCCGCTCCAGAGGAATTCTGATTCTATCTTTGAAGAAAACAAGATTTTTTACCATCACCACCCTTCCACCATCACGACATCCTTTCTTAGGCAAGCCTGACACCGAACAGAAACTTCAGCGTGGTGAGTGTTCTTAAGGAGAGCGTAGGGCGCGCTGGGGGATAAGCTACACTGATGGGAGGGAGGTAATCGGGAAAAACTTCTTAGAAGTAACATCGTATGAGCTGAAGTTGAAGAGTGAGTAGAAGCTGGAGGGATTGAAGGAAAAAGAAACAGCGTATTTTGAGGCAAGTCAAAGCGTGGAGCTCTCTTGGGTATTCATTCCAAGGAAGCCAGGATGTCTACCCAGAGGCAGGAAGTCTGATTGTGTGGAAGTGAGGCGGGAGTTTGGAGATAGACCATCCGTATGGGGACTTGTCATCGAGTTTGGATCCTGAAAGTTCTCTTACGAAAAGTGGAAAATCGCGGCAGGATTGCCTTGGGGTCATGTCACAGTCAGATGTACGGTGGGCTGTGTGAAGAATGGATTCGAAAGCCCTGTCCCTCATTGTGCTTGACATGATCTGCTTTTGGGTAACCTCACTGGAGTCCTGCATCACGTCCTCTGCCTCCCTCCCCCTCCCCCCGCCTTAGTGCACAGAAACAGAACAGGTGCGGTTAAAGCTAGCTGGAGAGGAGCCCTGGCCGTGACCTCGGAGGTGAGCACTCTGAGTCTTGGCCCCCATCTATCTCCTGACACCTTCCCCTGTGCTCCGGACCCTGCCTGCCTTCATTTCCTCACCAACATTTCTGTATAAAAGCTTTTCATGTTTACTTCTTGTTCTTGCGGAGTTCAACTGTATCTTGAAAAGAACCTGCTTTCTGGGTGTTTTTGCCAAGACTGAAAAATAACTTTGTGGTTTAGTGCAAGAAAACCACAAGCGCAAAGGTGCTCCTGAGGCAAGCTCTGTCCTCTGAGGGAGCAGAGACCCATCTCACCTGGTGTGATCACAAGTGACTGAAACTCTGTCCAAACACCTGTCGGCAGCCCACCACCCTAGAGCTATCGTTCCTCTCCAAGGAGGAAAGAATTTACCCGGGATAGTGGGTAGGTAAACAAAACAACACCCAGGGAAGAGACTGAGAAGGTCAAAGGCATTCAAGCAGAGCTGAAGATTCACATGCTCAGATAGCAGCCAGAAGATGCATTTGGTGTGGTCTGTGGCCCAGGGCCCTCAGAAGGGCAGCGTCTTAGAAGGCATGAGCTCTGCAGGTCTAACTCGTGACCAGATCCCCAGTCTGATTGTTACCCACCGAAATGGTAGACATTGGTCTATTTGGTCTATTTGGTCTATTTCTAACTTGCCCTCTCCCTCCTTGCCCCCAAACACCACCCCCACCCCCACCAATATTTTTAGCTGCCCAGAGTTCATCAGCA